CTTGGGCTCTACGGTACGTGGGCTCAGTAGTTAGAGCACGTGGGCTTAGTTGCCCCACGGCATGTGGAATCTCAGTTCCCAGACCAGGGATCGAATCAGTACCTCTTGCATTGGAAGGCAGATTCTCAACCATTGGACCACCAGGGAAGTCCTCTCCACTCTCTCTTTTAATAGAACAGCTTTATTGAGGTGAAATTCACATAAGATATAATTCACTTTTGCAAAGTGTGCAATTCAATAGTTCTTTGTATGTTCACAGAATTGCACAGTCCTCAGCAAAATTTTGGAACATTTCATAACTCCCCAAAGAAACCCTTTACATATCAGCAATCACTCCCCTTTTTCCTTGAGTCCACTCAGTGCCTAGCAACCCCTGGCCTGCTTTCAGTCTCTACAGAGTCCCTTTTTCTAGATGTTTCATATAAAAAGAATCGTGTGACAGGTGGCCTTTTGTGTTTGACTTTTGTCACTGAGCATTATGTTTTCAACATTCTTCCATGTTGTAGCCTGTGTCAGCTGTTCATTCCTTTTTATTACTGAATAATATTCCATTGTAAGTGTGTGTGTGTGTGTGTGTGTGTGTGTGTGTATGGCTTCTCTGACGGCCCTAGGGGTAAAGAATTCACCTACTAATTCAGGAGACATAAGAAGCACAGGTTTGATCCCTGGGTCAGGAAGATCCCCTGGAGGACAAAATGGCAAGCATTCTTGGAAATCTCATGGACAGAGAAGCCTAGCAGGCTTCAGTCTGTGGGTCCCTGGCAGGCTACAGTCTATGGGGTTGCAAAGAGTCGAACATAGCTGAGCACACTAAATAATACTGCATTGTGTAGACAGACCACATTTTATTTATCTATTCGTAAGTTGATGGACATCTGGGTTGTTTCCATCTTTGACTATTATGAATAATGCTGCTAATGGACAAGGTTTTGTGTGGACACATGTTTTCATTTTCTTGGGGATGATTCTATGAGTAGAATTCCTGGGCCATGTTAAATCTTTATGTTAAGACAATTATTTTGGAAATTCCACTGTTTTCCAAAGTAAAAACAGTCACATATAAAATGAACCATTTTACCATCTCACCAGCAGTGTACGTAGATTTCAGTTTCCCCATAACCTTGCCAACACTTGGTTATTATTGATCTTTCTTATTATAGCTATCCTAGTGGGTGTGAAGCTAATGGTTTGATTTTTGTTTCTCTGATGTCAACAATATTGAGCATCTTTTCATATGCTTGTTATTAATCTTCTTAAATGGAAAATTTAAGAAAATTTAATCTTCTTAAATGGAAAATTATAACACAATTAAAGGATTCTTGTAAATAACTGATTATACATGCTGGGATTAGGATCTTAACTAAATATTTAACTACAATGTCCATAACTAATTGCTATTATCTGAAATCATTCTCACTGGAGGTAAATCTCCAAGTTTTATTTAAACAATCAACTTTTCCTCATGAAAAATGATCCCATTGTAAATCTCTGTCTCGCTTACTCTTATCTTGGGCCATCCTCTGTTCTCTCCATCAAGTCTTGTTGCCCCAGTGGCCAGCTTCTCCTGGAGCCAGTGGCCATGTGTTCTTTGCCTGTAAGCCTGGATTTGCACCCAGTGCTTTCTTGATTACCTTCCTCGGAGGGATGGATTCCTGGTCATCACTCCTACTGTTTAGGCTCAGTGGCCTTCTGGGCACTTGACATCTTCAGTGTTTCTTTCCTTTCTCTTACCTCTAATTTTCTGCTACTTCTTCCTCCTTTGTTGGTTTCCTTTCTCGAGTTTCTCTTGTGCAATCTGTGTTATTTAATGTTGTTCATTGGTTAGTTTGTTCCTTCATTCCTCCACTAATAAATTCCAAAGGGATCTGAGGCACCAATTCTACTTCCTACCCTTGATTCTCACCTTTCATTAATGAGTTTCCTCTCAAGAAACCCCATTGACTTGGCAGAAAAGGAAGGATTCCTCACAAGGCTAAGAAAACTATCTTCATCAGGAAACATACTCCCTATCTGCAGCACTTTTTGGAGCCTGAGAATGGAAACCAGGTATTCTCATCTCTAAAAGGGCCCCAGTCACAGTTGTGTCGTATGATCAACAGTTTCTACAAATAGTTATGGATGACTCCCATGTGGATCAGCAGCTACTACAAAGATACTGTTTCAGCATTTAAATCCAATATTTCCTGGAATGCAAAAGTAGGAAGTCAAGAGATACCTGGAGTAACAGGCAAGGTTGGCCTTGCAGTACAGAAAGAAGCAGGGCAAAAGCTAACAGAGTTTTCCCAAGAGAACGCACTGCTCAGAGCAAACACCCTCTTCCAACAACATAAGAGAAGACTCTACATGTGGACGTCACTAGATGGTCAATACCGAAATCAGATTGATTATATTCTTTGCAGCCAAAGATGGAGAAGCTCTATACAGTCAGCAAAAATGAGACAGGCAGCTGACTGGCTCAGACCATGAATTCATTATTGCAAAATTCAGACTTAAATTGAAGAAAGTAGGGAAAAACATTAGGCCATTCAGGTACGACCTAAATCAAATCCCTTACGATTATACAGTGGAAGTGACAAATAGAGTCAAAGGATTAGATCTGGTTGACAGAGCGCCTGAAGAACTATGGATGGAAGTTCATAATGTTCACTGTACAGGAGGCAGTGATCAAGACCATCCCAAGAAAAGAAGTACAAAAAAGCAAAATGGCTGTCTGAGAAGGCCTTACAAATAGCTGAAGAAAGAAGAAAAGTAAAAGACAAAGGCGAAAAGGAAAGATATACCCATCTGAATGCAGAGTTCCAAAGAATAGCAAGGAGAGAAAAGAAAGCCTTCCTAAGTGAACAATGCAAAGAAATAGAGGAAAACAATAGAATGGGAAAGACTAGAGATTGCTTCAAGAAAATTAGAGATACCAAGGGAACATTTCATGCAAAGATGAGCACAATAAAGGACAGAAATGGTATGGACCCACAGAAGCAGAAGATATTAAGAAGAGGTGGCAAGAATACACAGAAGAACTATACAAAAAAGATCTTCATGACCTAGATAACCATGATGGTGTGATCACTCACCCAGAGCCAGACATCTTGGAGTGTGAAGTCAAGTGGGCCTTAGGAAGCACCACTATGATCAAAGCTAGTGGAGGTGATGGAATTCCAGTTGAGCTATTTCAAATCCTCAAAGATGATGCTGTGAAAGTGCTGCACTCAATATGCCAACAAATTTGGAAAACTCAGCAGTGGCCACAGGACTGGAAAAGGTCAGCTTTCACTCCAGTCCCAAAGAAAGGCAATGCCAAAGAATGTTTAAACTACCACTCAATTGTACTCATCTCACACGCTAGCAAAGTCATGCTCAATATTCTCCAAGTTAGGCTTCAACAGTATGTGAACTGAGAACTTCCGGGTGTTCAAACTCGATTTAGAAAAGATAGAGGAACCAGAGATCAAATTGCCAACATCTATTGGATCATAGAAAAAGCAAGAAAATTCTAGAAAAACATCTACTTCTGCTTTATTGACTATACTAAACCCTTTGACTGTGTGGATCACAACAAATTGTGGAAAATTCTTAAAGAGATGGGAATATCAGACCACTTTGCCTGCCTCCTGTGAAACCTGTAGGCAGGTCAAAAAGCAACAGTTAAAACCGGACATGGACAATGGGCTGGTTAAAAATTGGGAAAGGAGTACGTCAAGGCTGTATATTTGTCATTCTGCTTGTTTAATTAATATGCAGAGTATATCATGCAAAATGCCAGGCTGGATGAAGCATAAGCTGAAATCATGACTACAAGGAGAAATATCAATAACCTCAGATATGCAGATGACACCACCCTTATGGCAGAAAGTGAAGAAGAACTAAAGAACCTCTTGGTGAAGGTGAAAGAAGAGAGTGAAAAAGCTGGCTTAAAACTCAACATTCAAAAGACTACGATCATGGCATCCAGTCCCATCACTTGATGGCAAATAGATGGGGAAATAATGGAAACAGTGACAAACCGTATTTTCTTGGGCTCCAAAATCACTGCAAATGTTGACTGCGGCTGTGAAATTAAAAGACACTTGCTCCTTGGAAGAAAAGCTATGAGAAACCTACACAGCATATTAAAAAGCAGAGCAATTACTTGTCAACAAAGGTGTGTATAGGTAAAGCTATGGTTTTTCCAGTAGTCATGTATGGATGAGAGTTGGATCACAAAGAAGGCTGAGGATTGATGCTTTTAAACTGTGGTGTCAGAGAAGACTCCTGAGAGTCCCTTGAACTGCAAGAAAGTCAAACCAGTCAATCCTGAAGGAATCAGTTCTGAATATTCATTGGAAGGACTGGTGCTGAAACTGAAGCTCCTATAATTTGGCCACCTGATGCAAAGAGCTGACTCATTAGAAAAGACCCTGATGCTGGGAAATACTGAAGGTGGGAAGAGAAGGGGATGACAGGATGAGATGGTTGGATGGCATCACCGGCTCAATGGATGTGAGTTTGAGCAAGCTCCGAGAGATGGTGAAGGACAGGGAAGCCTGGTGTGCTGCAGTCCATGGGGTTTCAAAGAGTCTGACATGGCTGAGTGACTGAAAAATGACAACAATCTGATATGTGCGGGTCAAACAGCCACTCCTTACAGTTTGGCAGAGGGGACAAACGCAATAATGATGATGATGATGATGATGATGATGATAAAATGATCCAGGCATTATTCTAAGCAGTGGAAGGAGAACTTCCACTTCATGTGGACAGTTCATTCATTGTAGAAGCAAGCAGCTAAGTATTTTGATTATTATTTCTATATTCTTATTCACTTCCTAAAAAGATCTAACCCACCACAAGGTAATATGGTCACATTCAGACACCAGAATGTCTTCTTTCTCTGTTTTTACAACAGGGGTGCTCCTAAGGATATAACATTTGGGATAGCATCGCCATTTTCGTACCTGACTTGAGAGATCTGGAGTCCCCACAAGTGGGGTGGTCCCCCATGTATGTTGGTTTGTGTGTTTCAGAGTCAAGGGGCCAGAGAAGGAGGAGAAGTTGAGGCGGACAGTCAAGCAGGTCCTGAAGTGTGACGTGACTCAGAGCTGGCCGCTGGGGACCATCCCCTGCCCCCGGCCAACTGCCTGCTCAGCACGCTGAGACCTCCCTGCCTACCGCACGGCCCTTAAGAACCGCGGCAGCCTGCTAAAGCCGGGGGGCTTCCTGATGCTTGTGGATATCCTGAGAAGCAGCTACTGTATGATCGGGGAGCAGGGGTTCTCCAGCCTCTGTCTGGGCCCGGAGGCAGTGGCGACTGCCGTCAGGGAGGCCGGCTACACCATCCAACACTTTGAGGTGATCTCCCAGAGTTACTCTTCTGCCATGGCTGACAACGAAGGGCTTTTCTTCTTGGTGGGGCAGAAGCTGAGCACATCGGTATGATACCTTGTGACCGCTGTTAAAGCAATTCCTCTGATGTGCCCAGTTGACTTCAGTCTTTGCCACAGTCATTGTGCTGCATAGAGGCTAATGGCTTAGGCCCAATGGTTCACCTCGGATAGGACTGGAGAGGTCAGTCTCCCTGGCAACCGTTGGCTGACCACCTGCTCTGTGCTCCTCATGTGTGTTGGTGTTAAGGGGACCCAGCCTGATCAGTGGGCATGCCCAGGCTTCATCGCTGTGGTTACAAAAGAAGACCTCATTTTCCTTGATCTTCCCAGTTATCATGACTTAAGTCCACACCTGCTTACAGAGAAATGTCTGCGGTTACTCACTCTTCATTCCCTGATGCCTTCTTCTTTCCTGGGAATAGACTTCTGTTCTTCAATTCTTGCCTTCTCTGGGGACCCTGTCCTTCTCTAGGGTCCACTGGAGTCAGCACCACCCAGGGTCAGAGAACAGCTGCCGCTTTCACCTCTTGGTCCCAAGAATGGGGTAGACCCTTCATTAATTCCCTTAATTAACCCTAAGCCAACACTGTAACTTTTACCTGAAGAGAAGTTTAGGAATCAGAGAGAGAAATAACAGGCACTATCATAGAGCCACAATTAGAAACAAGTATCTTAGAGCCACGTGGTTAGAGGGTCCTGAGAAGTAGCCTGTTGACATAGCTTTTTGCCAAGCATCTATTTGGAGTTAGCATATCTCCCTATGGCATGCTCATCCTCTCTAGGTCCTATGGCCATCACCCCGAGGCTTTAAAACAGAGTTGACATATTATGGCGCAGGAGCCAATTCCAGCCTGCTGCCCATTTTGTAAAATTTATTGGAACACAGCCATGGCCATCATTTACATACTGTCTATGGTTGTTTTCCTGCTGGGATATACCTGCTGCAGATATAGTCTGCAAAGCCTAAAATATCTATTATTTGGATCTTTGTAGAAAAAGTTTGCCTTCTCCTACCCAAGGGAGAGAGAGAAGGAGTTTCTTCCTCCCCCAATCTGAGGCCCCTTTCTCTCATCTTCATTTCTCACCCTAAGATTTCCCTGTCCCTAGGCTTGCTGACAGAGGACACTTCTGCTTCCCACAAAGGAGAGTTCTTCCCCCTGCCCCATGTGCTCTGACAATCACATCAGGGCACAGGAGTCCAACACCCGTACATTTTCATTTGTGTGTTAGTTGCTCAGTCATGTCAACTCTTTGCGACCCCGTGGACTGTAGCCCGCCAGGCTCCTCTGTCCATGGGATTCTCTAGGCAAGAAAACTGGAGTGGGTTGCCATGCCCTTCTCCAGGGGATCATCCTGACCCAGGGATTGAACCCAGCTCTCCTGCACTGCAGGCAGATTCATTACTGTCTGAATCACCAGAGAAGCCCAAGAAAACATTTTTATTTACTTGGTTGTAAATAATAGGTCCACTTCCAGGACATTTCCCATTGTTCAATCACAAAGGACATTCACGTTAAAACATTCTAACCTGATTATGACTTCCAGAGATTCCCTCCTGAAGGCCAGTCTAGGCTGCATCTAGAAAGCCAAGTCCAACTCTGTTCCTATAAGCATGAAGGGAGATCAGGCCTGCGCATCCTTTCTGCACATAACTACTCCCAGAAGGCAACACGCTTAGCTCCCAGGAGTCAGCACCAATCACCCCGGGCCCCAAAGAAACAACCAAATCTGTGGATACTGGGCTCTCCCAAACGCGTCCCATCTGCCTTCACTCCGAATAGACATCAAGCCTTCTCCTGAAACATCTGCATCTGGTTATCTTCTACCCCAAGCAAAGCGATGGCCCTTGCTTCAATCTGCATAACTGCAAACAAAAACATAAGCCTACCTTTAAATTGATTGAAATTTAAATTAACTTAAATTTAAATTGATTGAAACTAGGATTTCCTAGTGTCAATCTCTTTTTAAAAACAGCACTTTCTTTCTTTTATCATTTACTTTGGCTGCACCGGGTCTTCATTGCAGGGTGTGGGCTTGATTGTGGAATGTGGGACCTTTGTTCCCTGATCGAACCCAGGCCCCCTGCACTGGGAGCACGGAGTCTTATTGCTGGACCACCAGGGAAGTCCCTAGCAATTTAAGTTTTGAAATGATAGGTTTTCTATTTTGATCTATGCAAGTCCAGGGGGAGAAACGCTGAGACTCGCCTGGCCACCATGGCTCTGTGAGGCCCAGTCCCTGAACAGATGGGTCTTCTGTGACTCTACCCCTAAGATGACATTTATTGTAATGCTTGTCTGTTTCTTCCACTGAACTGTGAGCCTCTTTCTTGGTTTATATGTGGATTCCCTTGCTGTTTGGCTAGACATGATCTAGGCTCTAGGTACAGAGTGGTGAATAGCAGAGGGAAGAACTCTGTTCTGGGAGTTTGTGTTCTGGAAGAGGAAGTTGTGGGACAGGAAGATAAGGAAACTAATCAACGAATGAGATACTGTCTGATAATGATAAGGGCTATGAAGGCCCTGCAACAGGATAATGGAATGGAGACTGTCTCCGTGACAACATCTGGCTAAAAATGGCTTCAACAATAAGGGGTTATTAATCTCACAAATAAGAAACTCAGAGGTAGGTACCTGCAAGAGAAAGCGGTGGCTTTACAGCATGGTCAAGCATCCCATCACATCTCTTTCTCCTTTGCCTGTGCCTGTGAGTGGGGTTTCCATGGGAGGGAATCTGTTTCAGAAACCCCAGCAGGCTTCCCACATCTTACTGACCAGACTAACATGCCCACCTCTAGACCAATGACAGAAAACAGAGAAGACAGAGAGCACACTCCTAAAGATTTGTTAAATGAGAGAATAATTCTTAGGTGACAGCAGAAAAGAAAGAAGAAAGCTCACTGGTTCAGTGAATGAGCTAGCATCTCTGATACTCTCAGCATCCAATTTTTTCTTTTCTTTTTTCTACAAAGATCATCCCATTTTCAAATTCTGGCTCTGCTACCTATTAGCTGTTTCTCCTTGAACAAGTTACATAATCTCTCCGTGTCTGTTTCTTTATCTGTAAAATGAGATTAAAATAGAATTTCTTATCAAAAGAATAAAAGTGAGCTGGTACATATAAAAGACATGGAATAAATGCTTGGCACTTGATAAGCACACAATATTTATTTATTGTTAGTTATAATCATTATTATCTTTGATATCAGTTGCCAAGGTATCTGAGAAAAGATGTCTTCAGCTCTAAGTAGGAGAGATGATGGCAGTTCTGGGATGCTGGCATCCAGGCTCTTTACTGGCATTGCCTTCCAGAGGCATTGTGGTAAAACTCAGTCTCTACACTGCATGCCACTAATTCCTTTCTCATTCAAGAAATATTCAATGGACTTCCCTGGCTGTTCAGTGGTTAAGAATCTGCCTTCCAATGCAGGGAGTGCAGATTTGATCCTTGATCTGGGAAGACTCCACATCACAGGTAACTAACTAAGCCCGTGAACCACAACTCCTGAGCCCGAGCTCTAGAGCCCGTGATTTGCAACAAGAGAAGCCTGTGCACCACAATGAAGACCCAGGGCAGCCGTAAAAAGAAAATATCCAGCCAACATTTGTTTAGCACCCTCCTAGTATCCCCCCTACTCCAGGCACTGAGAATGCAAATGCAACCCAACATCAATTGGCTCACATGTTCTCATCTTTGTAGTCATAGTGAGACCCCCAGTGCTTCCAGGTACATTCTGAAGGCCACACTGCAGCCTGCAGCAGTGGTCCCCACCCAGAGTCTGCCTGGATCAGCCTCTCCTGCTCAGATTGTGCTGCTGTGGATCCATGTCTGCAGCCGGCAAACCCTGGGGGAGGAACGACATGGCTGTCCTGAGAAAGATAACCCTGCCCATGTCCAGGGCTCTGCCCTGGATGCCTCAGAGACATACGGGCTTCCTCCAGGAGAGGTAGAAAACTCTCTCATCTATGCCAAGGGTCAGCAAACGTCCCCTGCAAAGGGCCAGATAGTAGATATTTTTGACTTTGTAGGTCATAGAATCTTGATCACAACTACTCTGAGTCTACAATTATAGAGAAAGCAGCCTGAGACAATAAGCAAATTAATGTATGTGGCTGTGTTCCAATAAAACTCTATTCACAGAGACTTCCCTGGCGGTCCAGTTAAGAATTCCCCTTGCAATTCATGGGAGGAGAGTTTCCCTCAGTGGTGAGAGAATTAAGATCCCACATGCGGTGGAGCAACTAAGACCCGAGGCAGTCCAAAAACCAAAAAAACACTTTATTTACAAAAGCAGGTGGACAGGTGGATTTGGCCCAAAGGTTGTAGTGTACAGATTCCTCATCTAAACCCTGAAGCAGCCTAGCTTGTGCTCAAAGTTTTATAAGGTTTCTCTAGTTAATTTTGAATACCCCATTCTGCATATAGGAGCTCAAACCCAGTCCAAGGGGCTGAAAGGGAAATACGCACAACACTGTTTCCTTCTTGCCCTATCCGTGCTCTGCCTCTCCTTCTTGATACATCCTGCAGTCAGAATTCCTTCCCTCTCCCCTGGGGGGCGCATTCCATACAGAAGACAGAAAATATGGGGGGGCAGGCAAGGCAGATGAAATCAAACTACACTTCCAGTTCTCAAACTGCAAGTCAGCATCCACTGTGTTAGTCAGTCGTGTCCGACTCTTTGCGACCCCATGGACTGGAGTCCCCCAGGCTCCTCTGTCCATTGAATTCTCCAGGAAAGACTACTGGGTAGTGGACTGAATACTGGATTGAACCCAGGCTGATTCTTTACTGTCTGGGCCACCAGGGAAGGCCATTAATTCTAATTAGTTCAAGAGAATTCAGCAGGTCTCTGATATGGTTTTACAGGTATCTTTATTTTCTTATTTAATCCAGCTTTTTAAATTTTTCTTTAGGAAGTTTTTGTCTTCCATCAGTCACTACATCCCAGCCATCAATAAGTCTCAAGACCTACTTTTGTGGGAATTTTATGTTTCTTATAGGTCCCTCTTACTGCAATTCTCTTTGTCTCAAAATAATGTATTCCAATTTTCATTAGTGTATCATAGAATCAAATTAGTGCATCACAACAAACATTTGGAAAAACAATACAGAATAAACTAGAAAACAAAACTCCAGGTAGCATCACTTTGTATAGTCTTATTTTGTGAAGGTTTGTTTTAGTTTTTCAGTCTACGGCCATACCACCCTGATCTTTTCTAGGTTAGTTTTTTAAAAGCTACATGTATATCAATAGATACAGAAATTCATGTTTATATATATGGTGCATATGTGCTAAGTAGCTTCATTTGCGTTTGACTCTTTGCGGCCCCATGGACCGAAGTTCACCAGGTTCATCTGTTCATGGGGTTCTCCAGGCAAGAGTACTGGAGTGGGTTGCCATGCCCTCCTCCAGGGAATTTTCCCCACCCAGAAATCA